TACGAGCAGTCAGGAAATAAGGAGATGCATTACACTGGGAAAATCTGCAGTTAAAGGACCTCTTCAAATTATTGAGGTGTAATTATGTCAGTTTGAGGACTAAAGTGAGTCTGATTCAGGCTGTGGTCTTTCCAGTTACTTGCTATGCGTCTAAGAGCTGGACAGTGAATGAGGATGAAAGAAAAAGAATTGACGCCTTTGAGCTGTGGTGTTAGAGAAGAGCACTGAACATCCCATGAGTGGCCAAGAGAATGAACAGATATGTCTTAGAGAGGGTGCAACCAGAGTACATTTTGGAGACAGGAATGATGAGGCTTCACCTTACATACTTTGGGTATGTTGTTAGGAAGGGCTATTCCTTAAGAGAAGGGCGTGGTGCTCGGAAGGGTGGAGGACCCTCAGCCAGGTGGATTGATATGGTGACTGCTGCAGTGAGCTCTTGTGTGTCTGAAAGTATGAAGATGGCACAGGATAGAACAGGGTTCAGATCTTTTGTTCATAGGGTTGCTGTGAGTTGTTCTCAACTCAATTGCATTTAACAACAACAATAACAACAAAGAATAGCAGAACCAAAACTAAGTAATCTTGTCTCAGCTAAAAGAAAAAAAATTAGATTTTCGATCTCTAAGATTAGAATCTCTAAGATTAGAATTAGAATCTCTCTATATCAAAGAGAGATTTTTTTCTTTTGCTTTTCAAAGAGAGGAGCGAACTGGGGTGGGGGGTGGGGGGCAGGGTTGGGCAGGGAGAAAAATGCAGCAATTAATGAATGGAAATCCAAAACCTCTGTAAATGTTCAATAAAATTATTAAAATAAAATCTAAAAAAAGAATTAGAATCTCTAAAATGAAAAGAATTACAAAGATTCTAAGAAAAGAAAATTTTAAGAGCTTTGTTTCATTTTGCTATAAAATGGTAACTTATTTGTAATTTAGAAATCTTATTGAGAAATCTATCTTTCCCTGTCATATATCTTGTTCATAGTGCACTGTGATTACAAAGACAGGAGAAAAGAAAAAACCAATATGGATGTCAGAAAAGACTCTGAAAATTGCACTAGAGTTTGGTTTTTGTTTTGGGTTTTTTTTTTACTTTTTTTATTAATTTCAATAAACATTTATAGAAATTTTGGATTTCCATTCATTCATTGTTGCACTTCCCCCACCCACCCCCAGTTCGCTCTTCTTGAAAAGCAGAAGAAAAACTCCTTCATACTCCACTCTGCAACCCTCATTCCCAACTCTTAAGATAATGATAGAGATGCGCCATGGCTTCGGGAGCGGCGGCAGGTCATGCGGGGCTTGAGTCGCTCTAACCCCTCCCCCAGAAAGCCATCGCAGACGCTGAGTGCCTGCTCCGCGGTAACCAACCATGTGCGACCGAAAGGCGGTGATCAAAAATGCGGACATGTCGGAGGAGATGCAACAGGACTCGGTGGAGTGTGCGAACCAGGTGCTAGAGAAATACAACATCGAGAAGGACATTGTGGCCCACATCAAGAAGGAGTTTGACAAGAAGCACAACCCCACCTGGGACTGCATCATGGGGAGAAACTTAGGTAGTTATGTGACACATGAAACTAAGCACTTCATCTCCTTCTACCTGGGCCAAGTTGCCATTCTTCTGTTCAAATCTGATTAAAGCATGGACTGTGCCCA